ATCGCATGGGAAGCGGACTCGCTCGAAATCGACTCGAGCCAGGGCAGTCGAAATGGGCCCTACCCCCCGTCCCTTCCCCATCCCTGTCCTCCCCTCCTCCGTCCCCTCATCCCCCCCCCCCCTCCTGCCCACAGTCCTGCAGGAACGCATGCGCGCGAGCCACACGACGGAATCCAACCCGCGCTCGCCACATGCGCACGGCGCGCTGGCTTGATGGTCCGCAGGGCAACTCCAGGAGTGGTTGTCCCGCCGAATGTGCAGGAAGCGCGCAGCGTGTTCGTAGATCTGCGGGGAATTGTACGCATTGGTCGCAAATGCTGCGGGCACATCAATCTGAAGGGGCCCTGGGCCACACAAACAAATAGACACACAAAAACAGGATCCCCCACATTTCCCTCTATTTTCTGGGTGTGCGTCTCCCCCCCCACTTCCCACAGTTTCCCATATCTTCTTGGGGATCGACGATTCATTGTGCCTGTGTGTGTGTGTTTTCCCTCCTGACACATCCTGGGGTAACTCGATTGTGCAGTCAATTCCCCTGCTCGATATGGTGGCGCGGCGGCCTCCGTGCTGCGCCTGCGCGGTGTCCGCTCGACCCGCAGCAGTGGCCGAGATCGGCAGAGGTCTGGCCCATGAGGGGGTGGGGCTGGTGATGGGCCGATGCTCCACCATCACTACCACGGGTAGGTAGGACAGGGGAGAAGGGAGGATGGGCAGCTCCTCCTCCTCCTCCTCCTCCTCCTCCTCCTCCACCTCCTCGTCCTCCTCTTCCACCTCATCTTCCTGCTCCTGCTCCTCATGCTCCTCCTCCCTCCTCCCTCGTCCCTCCTCGCTCCTCCCTCCTCCTCTCCCTCCTCCAACCCTCCTCCTCCTCTCCTGCGTCCTCCCTCCTTCCTCCTCCCTCCTCCCTCCTCCCTCCTCCCTCCTTCCTCCTCCCTCCTCCCTCCTCCTCCTCCTCCTCCCTCCTCCCTCCTCCCTCCTCCCCTCCCCTCCTCCCTCCCTCCCCTCCCTCCCCCGCCTCCCCTCCCTCCACGACTACACAATATGAATACTACTCTCCCCTCTCCCCTGGTGACGTCCCGGTCATGTCCGGCCCCCTCCGCGAACTGTTTCTTACACAGGATTACCTGGAGTTGGGTTCCGCTTGGATTTTGCTCATCAAAATCATGCTCTCGCCCAAACGCTGGCCTCATTTTCGGGCTACCGCCCATTCCGAATCGTGTTCCCGCTGCAGCGCTGGCCTCATTTCCGCGCTTCCGCTCGTTCCGAATCGTGCACCCGCTGCAGCGCTAGCGTCATTATTTCCAGCGCCATGCCACGGCATGGTCTTCGCTCCTTCCAAATAAGCCCAAAAATCTAGACAATGGCCCTCCTCCTCCTCCTTCTCCTCCTCCTCCTCCTCCTCCTCCGCCTCCTCCTTCTCCTCCTCCTCCTCCTCCTCCTCCCTGGGGAACGCGCCGTGGCCCTGGAGACGCAGCTGCGCGCCCTGTGACTTCGTCAACGCTGCCGCATGCGCAGGCATGCGCGGGCCTGTGCGTCGGCAGGGGCGGGCCTGCGCTGCGGCACACGTGCGGGCACGTCGGGGCGTGCGCGGGCGTCAGGAGGGATCCAGCGCCAGTGTGCGGGCAAGTGCAGCTACGATCCAGGCAGTCTCACTGACGCTGCCGCATGCGCGGGCGCGCCCTGCGGAGAACGACAAAAGACAGATTTGCCGAGCACCACACACACGACCCTAGACATGCCCACGTAGGCCCGCACAAACAAGAGCGAGTCAAATCGAAGACCGGGCACAGACCGGGCACGTGCCCGCACATAACCGCACATACCAGAGCAAAAAGAGCCCACACAGGCACACGCGCATAGGCACTGAAGTGAGTGAGGTGAGCCTCTCCTCCTCCTCCTCCTCCTCCTGCTCCTCCCCCTCCTACTCCTCCTCATAATCCTCCTTCTCATCATCCCCCTCTCCCCCTCCGCCTTCCCTCCTACCCCTCCTGCGTCCCCTCCCCTCATTCCTGCCATTCCCCTCCCCCCTGGCATCCGACCATTCTCCTTCTCCCTGCCACCCCCTCCCTCTTTCCTCTCTCCCTCCCCGCCTCCATCACCCTCCCTCACCCGTCCGCTACCGCTCCCCTCGGCCCATCCTCCCTCATCCGGTCCCTCCCTCCCCCTTCCCCTCCCGCCCCATGAAGGGGTGCAAAGAGGTACCGATACCGCTGCTCCGCGGACCTCTTCTGGGGTGCGTTCCGACCAGAAGTTCGGAGCAAATCCAGCCGTGGCGACGAGGGCCTCCCAAGGAAACCCAAAAAAGGCGACAACGAAGGAAGCATGGCGGCATCGGTACCTCCTCCTCGGCGACAACGAAGGAAGCATGGCGGCATCGGTACCTCCTCCTCATCCGAGCCCCCTGTTCTGTCCCTCCTCCCCCCGCCCTGTCCCCCCGTGGGCGCCTGCAGGCCGAAGACCACCGCAGAGCGGTTGATGGCCCTGAAGAAGTCGGCGTGTGGGGCCGAGAACAGGCCGTCCGGCGGCAGGCGCACCCCTTTGGGGGCGCCTCCTCCTCCTCCTCCTCCTCCTCCTCTGTCTCCAAATCTATCTACATCTCCATCTCCATCCACATGTGCATCTCCCCCTCCTCCTCCTCCTCCGCCTCCTCCTCCTCCTCATCCTGCCCTACTCCTCCTGCCCTACTCCTCCTGCCCTCCTACTCCACCTCCTCCCTCCTCCTCCTCCTCCTCCTCCTCCTCCTCCTCCTCCTCATGCTCGTCCTCCTCCTCCTCCTCCACCTCCTCCTCTCCTCCTCCTCTTCATCCTCCTCCTCCTCCTCCTCCATCCTCCGCCTCCGCCTCCTCCTTCTCCTTCTCCGCCTCCTCCACCTCCTCCGCCTCCTCCACCGTTTCCTCCGCCTCCTCTCTTCCTCCTCCTCCTCCTCCTCCTCCTCCTCCTCCTTCCTCGCCTTCCTCCTCCTCTTCTCATCATCCTCCTCCGTCTCCGCCTCGCCTCCTCCTCCGCCTCCGCCTCCGCTTCGCCTCCGCCTCCTCCTCCCACTCCTCCTCCCCTCCTCCGCCTCCTCCGCCTCCTCCCTGCCTTCTCCACCTCCTCCGGCTCCTCCGCCTCCTGATCCTTCTCCTCCTGCCTCCTCTTCCTCATCCTCCCCCTCCTCCTCCTCCTCCGCTTTGACGCCCGAAATGGGTACCGAAGGAATGGGTACAATGCCCAACAGCAAATGTTGTCCCAAACAAACAGCGGCCGCTGTTGGGCAGGCGGCCTCCTGTCTCGAATGGACACAGGCCGCGGCGGCGTGGACAGCGAGCCCTGTTCAAAATGAACAAGATCCGCTGTTGGGCATTGTACCCATTCTTTCAGTACCCATTTCGTGCGTGCAGATCCGCGTCTTCCTCCTCCTCCTCTTCCGCGTCTTCCTCCTCCTCCACCTCCTCCTCCTCTTCCTCCTTCTCCTCCTCTTCCTCCTATGTATCATCCTCTTCTCATTAGTATTTGTGTTCGTCTTGTCAAGGTTCAGATTCGTCGTTCGCGTCGTACTTTGTCTTATTAGACTTATGATCCGATGGTGTATCATTATGCTTCTTCGAAATACCATGTATCTTCTTATTAATAACTTTCGTATTAGTACTCGTGTTCCTCCTCCTCCTCCTCCTCCTCCGTCTCTCCCTTTTCCCGCTTCTCCCCCTCCCCCCCTCCCTCCTTCCTCCTCCCTCCTCCGTCATCCCTGCTCCCACCCCCCTCCTCCCTCCTCCCTACCCTCCATCCTTCCTCACTCCTCACATTCCTCCCTCAGCCCTCGTCCCTCCGCCCTCCTCCTCCGCCCTCATCCCTCCTCCCTTCCTCCCTCCTCCCCTCTATCCTCCCTCATCCCTCCTATCCCCTCCCCCCTCCACCCTCCCTCCTCCTGCTCCTCCTCCCTCCTCCCTCCTCCCTTCTCCGTCTTCAACAATCCTCCCTCCCTCTCCTTCCTCCCTCCTCCTCCTCCCTCCCCCTCCTTCTGTTCCTTCTCCCTCCTCCCTCCTCCCTCCCCCCTCCCTCCTCCCCCCCTCCCACCACACCCCCATACCCCCTCCTTCCCGCTAGCACTCCTCCCTCGTTCCTTCTCCTCCTCCCTCATTCCTTCATTCTCCCTCCCCCTCCCCTCCTCCAATCCCCTTATCCTCCCCTCCCCCCCCCCTCCCTCCTCCCTCCTCTCTCCTCTCTCCTCCCTCCTCCCTCCTGGCTCCTCCCTCCCGCCTCCCTCATCCCTCTTCCCGCCTCCCTCCCCCTCCGCGCTCCTCCCTGCTCCTCTCATCCCCCCTCCCGCCGCCTCCCGCCTCCCCTCCCGCCTCCCGCCTCCCCCCTCCCCCTCTCTCATCCCTCTTCCCTCCTCCCTCCTCCTTCCCTCCTCCCTCCCTCCCTCCCCTCCTCCCTCCTCCTCCCTCCTCCCTGCCCCCTCCTCCCCTCCCTCCTCCCCTCCCTCCTCCCTCCTCCCTCCTCCCACCTTCCTGCTCCCTCCTCCCTTCTCCCTCCTCCTTCCGCCCTCCTCCCTCCCTCTGGCGAGGCGTGCGGGGCTGTAGCAGGGCCCCTGATGTATCCTCGTACATCGACAGGTCCTGTTCGCAGCTGCGGCGCGCTGAAAAGTAAGGCCGGGGTCCTCGCCAGGCCCATGTGTTGCAAGCTTGGGCCACACATCTCCAGGCAACGAAGGCACCAACCGCATTCGTTTGTTGCATCTCAGCGTGGGCCACTTTTCCCACGCGCGGAAAGCACCGAACGCACTCGCCCGTTGCATGTTGGTCGACGTCTCGAGGCGCCGAGGGCGCCGAGCACACCTCTTCGAACCGACAGTGCAGCGGGACAACCGTCGGGACAGCCATCGGGACAACCGTCGGGACAACCGTCGGGATAACCATCGGGACTGCCATCGGAACAACCGCTGGGGGGCAACTGGCGGGACAGGCGTCAGGAGAACCGTCGGGACAACCGTCGGGAGAGCCATAGGGACAGCCATAGAC